AGGGCCTCAAAGCACCATGCAGGTCTGAAGCATTCTGAGGACCATCAGATTTTTCTAAAAGCTGATCTCCACTGAGGCAGCTTCATGGCCTATTGGAGAAGCAGAAAGAACCATAGCCTATCTCCCCCGCAGCATAGTACTGGGCACAGAACAGGTGCTCAATTTATATTTACCAAAAATATCTTATCTTAGGTCTGGGCCCAGGCTGCCCCAACAGGGACTGTTTCAGACTCTAGGGAACTGTTGCAAGGGGCAGTGGAGGTGAAAGGTGGGGACCTTCCCTGCTCTCTACCTGATTGTTCACAGGGCCCTAGTCAAAGGCTATCCTCTAGCTCTAGAACCATGAGATCTTGGGCTGCCAGACACTTCAGCCTGGGGGTCCAGCAGAAGTAAACAGAGCACCTTGCCCCCAAACCTCTCCTCTTCATTCAATATCCTATATGTAGAAAGGAGGGGGGCACCTCCAGATAGTCATCACCATCTGGCATCAAAAAGCCTCTTCCCCTCTCACCATTGCTCACACCAAGGAGTTGCCACCTGCTAGAACCTTCCCTCTGCTCTCCTCTTTCACTCTTCTGCTCCTGGATCAGGCAGCAACCTCCAAACTGCCCTCCCTGCTTTCTTTCCTCCAATCCGTTTTCCCACGACAGCCTGTAGTACTTACAAATGCATATCTGATCAATTAACATGTTAATAGAGTGTAAGTTTATAGGGCACCCTTCCGTGTGCCAAGCCCATTCTTCACACCCAATGCGTCTTGCCAGGTGCCTGCATATAGACTCCAGCAGTCCCCTGTGTCCTCAGTTTACCCCAGTACGCCTGTGTTCTTGTGTGACCCCAGGGGTGGCCCTCTCCAGTCCCTTCTCTCCCCAAGCCTCTCTCAATACCACACACAGCAAGAAGGGTCTGCTCCCGTCCCTGTCACACGTGGCTCTCTCCCTAAGCTTCTTGCCTTTGCACCTGCACCTTTCTTGGTCCTGCGCACCCTTCTCCTCCCCACTTGACTGACTCTTAGTCATCCTTGAACACTCAGCTCAGGTTTCGCCTCCTCCAGAACCCCTTCCTGCCTCCCCCAATGCATAGCCCCCTCCTTATCGCATCACACTCTAATTGCCGGTTTTTCTCATCAGTTTCTCTGAGGAGACAGCTCCCGCCAGGGCGTACACCCAGCACGGCACACAGTAGGGGCTCAGGAATCCCTTGTGGATGCCTGTACGAATGAATGAATCACAGAGCCCAGAGCGTGCCAGGAGTTGAACAAGGCCGTGGGCCAACCATTCATTCTCTCATTCATCTCGGAGACCCTGGCCGCCGCACTCACAGGCTTCCAGACGCGCGGGGAAACTGGCGCTGCAGGGCCCGGGATGGGGGGTGGGAGGGCGGAGTACGGGAAGGGGCGGGGCGCAGGCGGCCTCTCCGGAACCCAGAGGCAGAGCCTGGCTCTTGGAGGGGCCCAAAGGGCGCCCAGAGTGCCTGGGTCCTGCGACCCCAGCCGCCCCTCCCCGCCTCACGTTACACGCAAGTAATCTAAGTCTTCACGAGGCCGAATTCTGGGACCCCGCATAGGCTGGGCCGGGGCCGAGCCTCGGCCCCAGCGATCTCCGGACCGGCGACCCCCGCCTCCCGCACGGCAGGTCCAGGCCTGGCTTGGCGCCCGGCCGCCTGCCCTTTTCCCCTTCCCACCCGCCAGCGGAGCCCTCCCGGGACCACACGGCTTCTGCCCGCCCAGCGCCGGCGCCCCGCGTACCCACCGGCTCGGCTCTTCGGGTGCGCAGGCGGGGGCCAGGTTGGGCGGCGTGGCCGGCGCCGGAGTCCGCGGCCCCGGCACGCTCTCCCCGCCCAGGGCCCGCCCGGGGCCGGGCCGCTGCCTGTCGTCATCCCCAGCAGGGCCCAGACCCGGGCGCGCGCGCGCGCGAACACCCCGGCCCCGCCCCGGCCAACCCTGGCGGCGGCCCTCCGCCCAAGTCCGCGGAGACTTGGTGCCGCTCACTGTGCAACCAGCTCCCCGGACGCGGCGCGTCACGGTCACACACACGCAGACACTCTCACACACGTAGACACGCACACACACACTCCCTCCTTCCTACACGCACAGAAACACGCACACACACACACACACACACACACACACTCCCTCCCTCCCTCCCCCACACCCGGCCCCGTCGCTGCAGCGCTGGGTGGTAGGGTGCGTCTCCTCATCTTAAGGCCCCTTTGCAGCCTCAGAGCAAACCGAACGCTCTCCCCCCACCCCCTAACTCGCCCCACTTTTGCCAGGCCAGGTCGGTTCTTCCCCATTTGTGACTGTCTCCCTCGCCCCTCCTTCACTGCTCAAGCTACCGCTCTGAGCTGGCCAGTCCTAGCTCTTCGGGCCAGAAGAGACCGGAGGCATGCACCGAGCGTGTACTATGCGGCTGGAGCATTACATACACCACCAGTCCTTTGGCCTCAGAGCAGTCCTGTCACCTAGGTGTTATGCACAGTTCGTAGCCCAGCGTTCGGAGGACCAGGGAGCTGGAGAAGGAGGGATTCAAACCCAGATCCCTCCTTTGAAAAATTCTGCTCTTCGAGGCACTTAAACTCTTACCCCTTCCTTCCATTTATCCCTTCTTGTCCAGTCTGTTCCTGTCCCTAGGATCAGAACCCCTCCCCACTGCTCACCTCTTTCCTGAGGGGTCTGCTTGAGGGAGCTGCTGGGACCTGGGAAGATATTGCCACCCTTTCTCCCCGCCCAGAGCATCCCAGCTTACAAGCTTGCAGGGCCTGTGGGGGTGAATCACGCGGATGATCTCCCCAGTGGGGATCAGCTCCACTTGCAGTGCCATCCTGCCGGTGGAAAGCCACGGGTGCGCGCTGAGCGATGGGGCCGCGGAGCAACGACCTGCCCGCCCACTGGCTCGGGCTGCTCCCTGAGCCAGGAATCTGGTCTCACACTGGGATGGCCACTTGGTTCAGTTTCAACTCCAGCCCCAGGGGAGGTGTCTGGTCCAGCTCCTCAGGACACAGCTGGAGCAGCCCAGGTCTGATTGGGAGGCCTCTTGGCCCAGTGGATTGGGGCAGGAAGAGGAGGGGCTGAGGAACTGAGGAAATGCCTGTTGTCCCAGGTAACCAGAGAGGCTGATGCAGCCACTCGTGAGGGACCCTGGCCTCCAGGTCAAAGGGTAGGAGGTCTTTCTGCCCAACAGTTCTGTGGCCAGGCCTCTCCTGCTGCCCACTCACTGGTGTCAAGTGGAGCCCAGTGCTCCCCCAACCAAAAGGCACATCCTACCTGAAAGCCAGCAAGATCCGTCAGTAGCCACTGCCCTTCAGGCCTGTCTCCCTAGCTGGCCTCCTTCCTCCCACAGCAGCAGGTGAGCCCCACAGAGCTGCTGGGGTTGGCTATGTTGGGCAGAGTTTAGCTGGAGAGGCAGGAAGGCACTGTGAGGAGGCCCCTGTCCCAGCCTCCCCTGGAGCCTTTAACACTCAGGAGGACCGGACTCCCCAGCTCTAGGCAGCCTTAAGCCCTGTTGGCTTCTTACTTTTCCACAGTACCCTCAGGGGTCCCTCATCCCGAATGTTCGTTTCCTATCCTTACTGTTGCTAAATCACGGCTGACACTTTCCTGGCCTGGGACTGAGGCCTCAGGTCTTCAGCCATTCCTTATAGGAAGTAAGAAGGGGAAGAGGATAAGGAAAAGTGACCTCTCCAGAGGGAGACACTGGCCTGCGGGGGATGGGAGGGAGGGTGCAGTGGGCCAGTGCCAGCCCTGACAGCCCCGTGGTCAAGCACCTTCCCCTGGGGCACCCTTTCCTTCCCTCCTCACAGCGTCGCCCCCGCCCAGGAAAGGCCAGCAAAGCTTCCTTCCTTCCTCTAAGAAGCACATCTATCTAGGGCAGGCTCATCCCCGGTGGCCACACAATGGCCCTTATCAGCTGTGGAGTCAGGCGCAGAGACCCAGTGCACACCAAGTCTCACACATTTCCTGTTTCCACCCAGCGGGTCAGGGCTGGGCCCAGAGCAGCCATATCCTGATTGGGGCCAAGAGGAGGCAAAACACTCCCCCTTCCCCTTCCCGGCCTCTCAATCACTGCTGGACTCGCCCCTCCCAGGCCCAGAGGGGCCCCCCAACAGGAGGCAGGGGTAGGGGTGTGTGAAGACTTAAGGGGGAAGGGCAGAGATGAGCACACAGACAAGCATGTTCCACGGGCAGCAGGTGGAGGCAGTGGTCCCTGAGATCATGGGCCAGAATAAGGAGATAGGTATGTGCTGCTTCAGTTGTTCTTCCAACTGTTCTCTCACAATGATCTTGGAAATGCATACACTATTTGTATCTTAGGGACAACCAGGATTCCTACGTCGGGATAAGTGTAGCTCGGATTCAAGTCCAGGTCTTGATCTCATCCCTGTGTTTCTGGTCCTGCATGACACCACAGCTGCCTGTGTAACTCGGGATGGACCAGGCCGCCACTCTGAGCTGTGGCTGCTGTCTGCCAAATGACAGGTGCCGCGTGGCAGCGCCCACGAGGCTTGTGCAGGTGAGAAGGTGAGAGGCGGGCAAGAGTGAGCGGTCACGGGTCCTCTGGTATGTGTGTGTTGGGGTGGGGACAGAGATTACCATTGGGAGACCTTGGGGCAGGAGGCTCAAGGGAAAAAAAAGATGGTGACATTTTTGAATAGCTCTAGCTGGGACCAAGGCTCAAGGCTAAGGTGAAGGAATGTCAGTGAGGAGGGATGAACCAGTGAACACAGAGCGCCTTTTCTGAAAGTCAGCAGTTCCCAGAAACCCATTCTAGTTCACGGCAAGGTAAATGAAGTGCCTGATAGCATAGGAGGCTTGTCCCAACTGTGCCAGGGACCCAGAGGGCCGCCATCCTGGGACACCATCTCATTCCCATCAGGCAACATCTGTCACTCTCAGACACAGAACTCTAGTCTAGATCTACAGGGCCCTCGTCCTAGAGCTTAGCAAGGGTATGGAGTCAGACCATCACCACCCCCCCAATCACGGAGCCACACACAAATTGTAAAAGCCATGTTTCTAATGATCCCCCAATACAACAGACACAGAACACAGCCATGGGCCACTAGAAGCCCGGGGGACAGTTCTTGATGGTACACACGGCTCCCAGGGTGGAGTATGGATCACAGAGTGACTGGAGTGTCCCTCAGTCTCAGGTCAGAGGATGGATGTGACCGTCACAGAGCAGGTTCCCTGAGGTGTCTTCTCCTGGGAGAAGGGCCGTTGAATCACCAGTGGCTGGAGGCAAGTGGCGGGAGTGGGACTGAGTGCCCACACAGCACCCAGAGAATGCTCTCAGAAGACCCTCAAGGCCGGATTCTCCAAAATGACTGGATCCTGGCTCCCTTCTCTGCCTGCCTCTGCTTCAGGTGCTAGGGCAGTCTAGAGAGGGCGGGTTCCTGGCCAGTCACTGCAGGTGAGGGTGGGAAGGAGCAGATGAGCTCGGCTGGGCAAGAAAGCCCCTGGAAAAGTCTGTGGCCACAGCTCCTCTATCACCTGCCAACCCTTTCACAGGAGGGCAGGTTAGGGCATGGAGCCTGACCCACCAGCACAAGCCAATCTGGGGCCAATCCTTTGCTCAGACAGTGAACTTCTGCATCAGACTCCATGGGTCAGGCTCCTGCCCACAACACTTACTAAGAGCCTGGGTGGAGGGGCCCTTCATCCTGCCCACTTAGTCTAATTGCTTTTGCCAAAAGCAGGGATCCCACACCTTCTGCCCATCCCCCAGAGGGATGGGCAACAAGATACCAAGACTCCCGGAACCCAGGCTGCTTGTGCCAAGCAGTCTATGGTGCCTGTGCAAATGCGAGCATCTCCCCCTCCCAGGCAGCCTGAGGCCCAGGATGGCGTGACAAGAATGCAGGCCTGTGCCAGATGGGGCATGTGCCTGGCAGGCCTGCTTGGGCAGGACTGGGAGTGTGTGTGGGGAAAATCGAGAAACGAGATATAGGCTGGAGGGTCCTTCCCACGTCCAGGGGTCTGTCCCAGGTCTTCTGTGTTGACAAACTAGTTGGTTTCACTCATATCTCAGCAACAAAAACCTGTATTTAGGGGGCCAATTCTAGAGATCTGGACCGGAGAGAGCCAAGGAGTGTGGCTACAGCTCCCCCTGGGAGGTGGAGGATACCTGTTACCTCCTCTGGGGGCTGGGCCTGGCCCCTGGTGCTCCTGGCAGTGGTGGGCAGAGCTGGCTGCCAGCTCTGGCCTCCGCCCTGGAACCACTCTCATCCAGGCTCAGATGTGTGGTTGGGATTCACCCAGTGGGTCCTCCGCCAAGAAGGAGCCAGGCTGGATCTGCAGGGAGAAAACAGCAGTGAGCAGAATGGGGGGCGGGGAGAGCAGATTTTGCTCTGTGTCTTTCCATCACTCCCCTTCTCCAGTGCAGGGAGCTCCACGGCCCAAGTGGATTCCCAGGCCCATGGCAATGAAGAACTGAGCAGAGGCTCAAGTCCCCTCCCCACACCAACATACCTTGAAGGGTTTACTTATTCCCACCACAGAATGCAGATTGTTGCTATAGTAACAGAGGAGAAACTGGCCCTCGGTCTCAGGGATGTCGCTGGTATTGAAGTAAACCTGGTGGGGAGGACGGAGAGGAATGGGGTCAGTTCCCGGGCCCGGGGCCCCACCCAGCTCTCAGTAACAAGTTATCCCACCCTCCGTTCCTTCCAAAAGACAGAGGAGTGCCCAGGCATGCCCTCGCATTGGGAGACGTGGTATACCTATCTCAGGGAAGCAGGCAGGTACCTGGCTCAGCCCATCGCTGAAGGAGACCTGGTTGTCCCTGACCCAGACATAGGACACGTAGTCATTAATGTGGCGCAGCCCCACCTGTTGGAGAGGGGATTGGGCAGTCAGTGGTCTGGGAGGACGCGGCACCTGTGACAAGTGCCAAGGAGAAGATGCTTTGGCCTGGCCATTGTACTATACATGCCTCCCCCACTTCACCGCCAGCCTCTAGGTGGGCAAGGACCCCTGCGGGAGATGGGCATGAGCTCTTCAGCTCCCGTGAGCCCCCAGGAGGGATAAACCAGGGGGAATGGCTGATAGCACATCTTGCCCACCACGTCACCTTGTATAGTCCAATCCAGTCCCAGGGGCTGCTGGGAAAGTCTGGGGTCAAGGAGTAGCTGATCAACATGTCGTTCTCCATGGTCCACAGCCCCTCAGGCATCAGGGTGATCGGTGGGGTAGACACCAAAGGCTTCAGCTACATAGAGGTGGGAAAGGGGTTGAAATCCCACAGCATCATTCTTTCCTCTGAGGCTAATGTTCTTACTGTGAACTGTGAACTTGCAGTGAGGGGGAAGAGGGGCACACATGGGGATGGGCACAGAACTCCACTAGGCAGCCCCGAAAAAGTATTAGACTTTGACTGGCCCACTGGAAGGAGAAAGGGCCAAAGGCTTGTTGGGGGAAGCTGGCCCTGCCAGGGAGGATGGGGCTAGGGGCCCAGTGGGTAACCAAGCAGAGAGCCAAGTGCTGAGGGGAGAGGGTAAGGGAGAAGGGGGGAGTTGCTGACAGGTTTAAAAAGGAAGTCAGGTAGCTACTCTCAGGCCTCCAGGGTTCCTGACCCAAAGTAGGGCGGTAGTTCTGGGGAGAGCAGCTGTAGGCATGTGGAGGGCCACAATGGTATACAGACAGACAAACCAGCCATGAGAAAGTGAAGGCTGTGGTGTTGGGAGGACAATACCCAACAACCTGCAGGTCTCAGAGGAGGTCAACAGTGCCGTGGTCATTTGATGGCAAGATCCAAGGATGGAGGTAGCTCCCTTTGCAACCTGATCCAGGTAAATTTAGGACAAATAGAAGGAAGTCCTACTTCACACGGGAGGTAGTAAGCATAATGGAACCCACTAGCCCCAAGGGACAGTACCAAGAGGAAATGGAAACCCATTCACAAAGGGTCTGAGCCTGTTTTTGACAGAGCCCTCAACAGCTTCTAAGAGCTGGGATACCTGACCTGGGAGGAGTGGCAGTGGTGTCCTCCTACCTAGAGGCCTCCCCTGGGAGACATGCTGACATTAGAATCCAGGGCTGGGGGGTTTGGGAGGCGGCCCAGCGGGTGCTCTGTCAAGGGCCGGGCAGCCTAGAAATTCACCTCCAAGTCAAAGGTGCTGGTCACAGGCTTATGGTCACTGACACAGTACATCATGTGGCTGACATAGCTCCTTAGAGACAGGAAGAAGTGGGGGGCTGGCGGCCTCTGCGTTTGGGGGTTGGCCTGGGGCTGCCGCTTCAACCTCCACAGGATACGGTCGGTCCAAGCAGGCTTGCGTTTTTTCTCACTGGGGGTGGAGGGGAGAAAGAATGCGGAGAGAAGGGTTGGCAGGAGAGCAAGAAGGTACCCCCAGCAGGCCTGCTGGAGCCCCCAACACCAGGGCCTCTCAGTGGCCATGAGACCTCTGGGAATGTGGCATAGCAGCCGGCAGGAGGGGGCCCGAGAGAACCAGAAGCCAACTGGTCTTTGTCAGACTCTGCCAAGGACCTTCAGTCTAGTCTACATTTTTATGAATCCAACTGTGATTCAGAAACATTCCACTCCAAAGCTTTTCTGACTTCTAGAACAAAAGCAGCAGACCAGAGAGCAGCTGAGGTTTGGATTTCAGAGTTAGAGGTAAGCTGGAATTTGGCTTCCCTCTCACTACCGGTGGAACCTCAGAAAAGGAAAGGAAAGTATTTGGGGACGCTCCCTGTGGGCCCGCTGTCAGTACTGCCTGTCCCCTCTCTCAGGTGGAGAAATCGAGACTCAGTAGGAAAGGAACTTTCCTGAAGTCACACAGGGACTGAGTGGTGGAGTCAGGATTCAAGGCCAGGCGGCGTGACTAGATGGCCAAGCTCCTCATGACCAGGCCACCCCCTCTCGGCCTCCACTTCCTCATCCGTAAAATTAAGGTAATAAGTTACCTCACAGTCTGCTGACACGATTAAATGAGATAAAGCACACAAAATCTTTAGCACCGTGCCTGGTACAAAATAAGCTCTCTGTAATCACTGGCTATTGTGACTCTTTGTTCTCAAGAGTCAACTGAGACCCCTCTGGCCTGTTCTTTGCTTACTGGCTTCTCTGCGGAGCCCTGAGGCTGTACAGCCCTTGGAGATAGGAGTGCTTTCCTTCCCTAGGTAACTGCGGTTGTCTCAAGACAGGCGAGCCTACAGGCGAGGGAGCTACAGGGCTGTTCTCGAAGATCGAAGATTGGCAGTTCTCTAAGACCAGGCTTTGCCCTCCAAGAATGGGGCGGGGCCCAAGTCCTGGAATGGGGGGGTGGGCAGTTGCTGCTCTGGGTTCCTCCCCCTTGATTTTAAAAGAACCCAGAGTAGTAAAGCCTAGTCAGATGGTTCCTGCTCTAAAACCCTTCAGGAGTCTTCACTGACTCTGAATAAAGCTCAAGTGCCCAAGCACGGTTTTCCAGGAGCCTGATACCCCTGTCCTACACTGTCTCCCACCACTGTCCCAGACCTGCCTACCAGGGACTCTCTGGCCTCCGGACCTTTACTCTTGCAGTCTATACTGCCTGGAACACCCGTCTTCACAGGGAGAGGCCAGTTGCAACGCTGCCTTTGTCAGAAAGCCGTCCTTGAGCTCTACTTTCTGCTTCCAAAGCATTTTGCACCAGTGTTTTCCCTATTATGTTATGCAGTGCTGTCGTTTTCAGTTGGCATACTGGTCTGTGTGAGCCTGGAAGGCAAGCACTGGCTCTCGAGATGTCCTGTGCAACCTCAGCCTTAGTACAAAGCCGGCACTTAGCCGGCCTGACTGCTCATGGAACCTAAACTCAGGAAAACCCCAAGCTCGACCTCTCTCCTCTCTCCTCAGAAATGCCCATCTAATCCTGACATACACACTTTAAGATGCTGATAACCAGGTTGCAAGTCTACTTTTTGTCTTCTGTTTGATTCACTTACTATTTTATTTTATTTAAAGATTTTATTTATTTATTTGACAGACAGCACGTGCAAGCAGGGGGAGCAGCAGAGGGAGAGGGAGAAGCAGGCTCCCTGCTGAGCAGGGAGTCTGATGCAGGGCTGAATCTGAGGACCCTGGGATCACGACCTGAGCCATCCAGGTGCCTCCACTTACTATTTTACTTTATTTTAATTTTTTATTTTCCTAAAGATTTTATTTACTTGACAGAGATCCCAAGTAGGCAGACAGACAGAGAGAGGGGGAAGCAGGCTCCCCGCCGAGCAGAGAGCCTGACTCAGGGCTTGATCCCAGGCTCCCGGGATCGTGACCTGAGCTGGAGGCAGAGGCTTTAATCCACTGAGTGACCCAGGCACCCCTACTATTTTATTTTTTTAGAATATTTTATTTATTTATTTGACAGAAAGAGATCACAAGTGGGTAGTGCGGCAAGCAGAGGGACAGGGGGAAGCAGGCTCCCTGCCGAGCAGAGAGCCCAATGTGGGGCTCAATCACAGGACCCTGAGATCATGACCTGAGCCGAAGACAGAGGCTTTAACCCACTGAGCCACCCAGGCGCCCCTCCACTTACTATTTTAAATAAAGATTTCTGACATACTGTTGTCAATTCAACAGCAATATAGTCTTCTAGCAACAGAGAGGCAGAATGCTGTCTCACTGGTGAAGTCTGATTCCACGATCAGACACCAGGATTTGGGGGGAGGTCCTGCCCTGTTAACAAAGAGCTCTGTGGTTCTGGCTGGTGAACATGTGACTTGGAGAGAGGCTCCTTGCCCTCTCTCCACACCTGGCCCTAGGCCTCTCTTCCCTCTGCCTGTTCCTGAATTATATCATTTTATAATTAACTGGTAATCTAGTTTGATAAAGAGAGAGAGACAGAAAGCTATGTGCCCCTGGGCAAGTGACTTCACTTCTCCCAGCCTCAGCTTCAGCTCTCAGATGGGGGTGACAACAGTACTTTGCTTCAAAGAGTTGTAGTGAGGATTAAACAAGTTAAGGTGTGTTAAGGGAGGGGTTAAGAGGTGCTAACCGGCTTGGCCACATCTGTTTGGGGCTCCCGGGGTTGTCTCAACCTTCTACTCTTCTGAGGAGTGCTCAGAGCACATCAGAATATGCTATTTCTCTACGGCCATACCACCCTGAACGCGCCCGATCTCGTCTGATCTCGGAAGCTAAGCAGGGTCGGGCCTGGTTAGTACTTGGATGGGAGAATATGCTATTTCCACTCCAGAGATGACAGACAAGGAATCTCTGAACCCACCTTGGACATTCAGTACCCAGCCATGCTTAAACTTGGGAACGATCCACACAAATGGACCACTTTCCCTTTCAAAGCATTCTCCCTCCCTAACTTCCCTATTATGGTGACTAGCTGTCACTTCAGGATCCTCCACAAGTCCTGACCACAGCCTGTCTCTCCTTCCTCCTCAGTACCTCTCAGCCTGTCCTCCTTTCCTTCTTTTCCAGGGCCTGCCCAGGCTTATCACTGGGCACCTGTACACTTCAGTCTTTCAACGAAGATTTACCGTGCCCTTATTATATGCTAGGCAACTGGGGATCTGAAAAATGGGACTGACAAAGTCCTCGAGGAGCTTGTCTGGCAAAAAAAAAAAAAAAAAAAAAAAAAAAGACAGGAAACAAGTTAAATGTGTACAAATTGAGCTGCCTGGATGGCTCAGTTGGTAGAGTGTGTGCCTCTCAATCTCTGGGTCATGAGTTTAGGCCTCATGTTGGGCGTGGAACCTACTTAAAAATAAATAAATAAATGTGTGTGTACAAATTAAATATTACATATATTCCCCCAGTTCTTCACTTCTTTCTTAAAAGGGGTGGTTTAGTTGGTTATGGGTCTGCCTTTGGCTTGGGTATGATCCCAGGGTCCTGGGATTGAGCCCCGAATTGGGCTCCAGCCCCGCATTGGGCTCCCTGCTCAGTGGAGGGCCTGCTTCTCCCTCTCTCTCTGCCTGCTGCTCTATTTGTGCTCTCTCTGTATCTCTCTGTCAAATAAATAAATAAAAATCTTTTAAAAATTTTATTTATTTATTTTAGAAAGAGGGAGAGAGAGTGCAGCAGGGAGGGGCAGAGGGAGAAAAAAACTCAAGCATACTCAAGCCCCGACTTGGGGCTTGATCCCAGAACCCTGAGATCATGGCCTGAACCAAAACCAAGAGTTGGATGCTTAATCAACTACGTCCGCCCCATGGGCCCTCCCCCATCCGGTTCTCCATTTCTTTTTCTTTTTTTTTTTTTTTTAAGATTTTATTTATTTATTTGACAGAGAGAGCAAGATCACAAGTAGGCAGAGAGGCAGAGTGGGAGGGGGAAGCAGGCTCCCCGCTGAGCAGAGAGCCCGATGCGGGGCTCGATCCCAGGACCCTGAGATCATGACCTGAGCTGAAGGCAGAGGCTCAACCCACTGAGCCACCCAGGCGCCCCCGGTTCTCCATTTCTAATAATAATCGTGAAACATGGGATCCTTCTGTTCATTCGACCCTGTGATAGGTGTCGCATGGACTGTCCTGATCCTCTCGGCCCTGCAAGACTGTTACAAGTCACATTCTCCCTCCACTACAAGACACTGAAGTTCAGAGGTCACCCTGTCCAGGCAGAAGTCAGATGCTTGCCTACGTCTATGAAGTCCATGCTCCTTCCACTGCACTCCAACGTGGCCAATTCCCAGCAGTGAACTGTCTCCTCGAATGCCTTACCAGAACCAGACCTCACTTAGGCTTTTTGGCTGAATGGTTGTGACTGAGTACAAGAATTGTTTCTGGAGATTAGTATGTCCTTACTTTAGACAAATTAAAACCAGCTAGCTCTGCAAATATTTCTTTAAGAGCCTAGAACATTGAGCCGATCTATTGACCCCTAGTGATGTGTTCCATTTCTGGGTCTGAAATAGTCTGAAATGAACTTTTCCCTTCGGAAAAGTCTTACTGAACTCTGGACAGGAGTCTTGACTAGATTGATCGTAAGATCCTCTGCTCATTGCCTGGTGGAGAGGCTGACCAGGCTCATGTCAACCATAACAAAACCCTACAGCAATCCCTGACTTTAACAGGATTTCCCGCTCTGAGCCTGTTCAGCCTCCCCTGTAATGGAGCTGACCTCGTTTCTGATGACATCTTGGCTCAGGGATGTTGCTGGGCAAAACTGATGTGTATCATGCCGTGCACACAAGTCACTCATGGTCTCTTTGTATAGCCGGTCAGGCTCTTCTCAAGGTGCCTCTCATCAATGCTGCTGACTGACTGGAATGCCTGCCCTTCTCTCTGCCGGACTCCACTGTATCCTTGACAGCAGCTCTGATCGACTCCTCCTGGCTTCAGCTGCCTGCCTCTTTACCATTCGCTCAACCTCCTTCGACACTTCCAGAGTTCTAGAACCTTCTACTGACCAACTCCTGGACTTGATAGTGCTTACTTGGATTTCTTGCTATGGGTGGATCCCTCTAATAGATGGGCTGCCCCTTAAAGACCTTATCTTTTCCTTCTGTCCTCCTGGGCTCCTGATTCAAACAAATGCCGGGCGCTATGCTACATAACAGAGTTGGTCATAAATCAGATCCAGTCTCTCCGGGCATTCGTAGTACATCAGGAAAAGCCCACTGTGTCTTGAAAGCAGCAGTGGAAGCATGGTGTGTGCAATGCTTTCAGGCAGTGTATGGGCAGGAGAAAACTCTCAGCGAGATGGGGAAGTGTGAGGGAGCTTTCTAACAGCGATGATGTCTGAGCTGAGTTTTCAAGGATGAAGAACAGTCTGGTTACACAGGCACATGGTAAGTGCTCCAGTGATGTCAATCACAATGTGGACTGTATCCACTGTGTGGAAATAAGTACCTGCCTCCTTCTTTGCAAGACTTCGCTGTCCCCATCCTGCCTGCCCTTTTGCTGCTGTTGGTAAGACTGGCTGCGAATCTGGAGGTGCTGTGGGCTAGACTGAAGCACTGGGGGCCACAGAGTAGAGTCGGATCTCAGCTCCAGCTCCGCCATTACTAGTTGAGTCTCCTGGGGAAGTCCTTTAACATCTCGGAGCCTCTGTACCCAATTTCAGTACCTGCTGATCCTAGCCTAGCCAACACTCAGCTGTCTGTGAGGACTTCCAGTCTCCTGGTGGTTTCCCTACCATACCTGGGGGTGGGAGCAAAGGGACCCCCGGCCACATGGCCTGCCAGTAGCTCTCTCCTTGCTGGCAAGAGGGGATTGAAAGTCCATCAGTAGAAGGTCCCAGCTGCCAAGGTCCAGGCCCATCCCACCGAGGCCTCACAACGTCCATGATAGGTCTCATCTCCAACGGATGGCTGGGGAGACTGGCAGTCTCCCTGCAGCTGTGGCCCCAGGCCAGCTGGCCAGCCGGAACCTGCCCTCTTCCCTCCTTTCTGGCATGCTCTGTGGCCCAGGCTAGGCTCTGTTTTCAGGGTTCATGGCCTCTTCTTGTGTGTGCTGCCCAGGCCATGACCCCAGCACATCTTGCTCCATGCTCCCAAAATGCCTCCCCCCTACCCCACCCCTTCCTTGGAGGGGACGCTGTGGCTTGGCCATACCACTGCCAGCACAGGGCCGTCCTACTTCTCAGCCTGGCCCAGCTGGGGAGACACCTGTTCACTCCCCACATTCTAGAGGCTCTGCCCTAAAGGCACTTCCTGCCTCCCTCATAAGACAGTCTTGCTAAGAGGAGTAGAGGAAGGTGAGACAAAAACCCTGTGACACAGACGGGGCTCTTCTCTGTCTTCAAAGAGATGGGAATCCTTGCCAAATTGGGCCGGGAACTTCAGGCCAGAGCTGCTCTTGACCCTCTGCCTAAGCTGCAAGTCTGGGTGGTTACCTGCCCCTTCTCAGCTTCTTAAAGAGGTATTTAGTACAACTACTACCCAAAGACGTGAATTTGACCACAGCAGTTGTCACGGTGCTTACCAGGTGCCAGGCACTGGGGCTGAGCACATGCGAGGTCTCATTCAATCCTCAACCCCATGAGCTGGATACTAATATCATCCCCATTTTATAGATGATCAAATTGAAGTTTAAATATCTTATCTGAGGACGTGTAGCTGATCAGTGGCAGAGCTGTATTTTTAAATACTAGATGCACTGTTCCTACGTTGTTCCCCATAAACTCCTCCACTGACGACAACTACTTCACCTTCCTATATAGTACCTGATCCACTCTCAGCTAGGGCAGGGGTACCTGAGCCAGTAACTGGCTGAGCCAAGATTTCTGTTCTTCTGTTTGGGAAGGACCAGAAAGCCTGGGGGAGTGGAAGCAATGCTGAAATGCAGTCTCTCTCAAGTGAGGAATCAGCCACATCCCCCCCTCTCCTCCTATCCCCATCCTTGCCAGCACCTTCCTGCTCTCTGAGGACACTCTGGGAAGCTCACACAGTCGGCGCGTCATGAGGCGGCTGGGAGGTGCCACTCCTGAGGTGATGGCTGGATCTATTCCTGCTTCCCTAACACTTCTATTCTGAGGCAGCTCCCTCTGCCACCAAAGCCCAACACAACCTGACTTCCGAGGCCTCTTGGCCCCTCATTTCCTCCTCACAGGCTAATTCCAAATCAGTGGCAGGCTGATCCTCTCCTGGGGGAGCCCGCTCACCTGGTGTCATAGTTGTTGGAGTTCTTATCAAACTTGTAGGTGGGTGGGAAGAGCAGGGGGCCCTCCTGGAACTCCCGGAGCAGCGGATCGTGTCTCTTGGCGATGCTGAGCTGGAGAGAAAGGCACAGTCCCATCTCCTAGCAGTCCCGACCCAGCGACCTGGCACACACTCCATTTGAGGGATCGCACATGCCACTGAGGTAGGCCAGGAGTCAAGCAACACCACTTCCCTTCCTCACTGCCTCAGTGACAGCCTCAACGGCCCGTCCCCACTCCACCCCCATCCCCAGGAAAGTGGAATCCTTCAGCAAACATTATTCCAGAGTCCCAGGGGAGGCCGCTGCCTGCCATTTTCCAGTCCTGGGACTATGGGAACCTGGCTTTGAATTCCATCTCTCTGGGAGTCACTAGCAAACTTGTATCAGAGGGGAGGTTGGGGTCCCCCCAAAGGGCTGGTATCTCATCCTCTAGGAGGCAAGCAAGCCTGGGGATGGAAAAGACAACAGGGATCCAAGAGAGCTGGTGCCCAGTGCAGGACCATGGTAAGCCGAAGGCCTTGCTCCCTATCTTAATGCATACCCAGCAGCTCCTCCAGGGGAAGACCAGGCCCCAGGTGCAAAGCCCTGTTAAACTCCTCCCCACCTGGGAACAAGGACTTCAGAGGCCTGGAAATGGAGAACAGGCAGCTGAGGGACCTGAGCAGTGCCCCCCACATTTGATGCTGGACCTCCACAATAGGCTCAGATCACCCCTCTGGACCTTTCCCTCACTTGATACCTGATCCTTCTCCCACAGGTCACTGTAACGCCGATTTTTTATGGATTCCCGGACAAAATGCAGCCCAAAGTCATCAATCCGGAAGTTCATGTCTCCAAACCACAGAATGAGGCTGCAGAGAGAGAAGAAGGCAGCTGAGGGTTGTGACAAGGTAAGAGAAGGGAGGAGCAACAGGCCTCAGGCCGGCTCACTCCTCCAGTGCCGAGCTCAAGGGGCAGGTGAGATGCTGGAAGCTGGGAGGAGCCAATGCCAGGGATGATTTGGCATAAGCCCTGATGAACTGTTCTCGTGGCTGCTTCCCAGCTGTTTCAGCCACACACACCAGCCCCCAGAGGCAAGCAGCAAATAGAGCAGGCTCTTGCCCTCCCTCCCCCTCCCTCAATGGGCCACCAGGCAAGGCTGAGAACCAATTCCCCATGGGTGAACTCAGGAACCCTGGGGTAATCAATCTGGGATCTTCAGAAGTGTCCGGAGTTCTAAAGCAGGACACGGAGGGAAGGGTGGCAGGGAAAGGGAAGGAGTCCTAGGCCCCAGGCAGGTAAAATTGGACGAGAGAGCCAGGGCATCAGGGAGGAGGCTGAGAAAGGGCTGGAGTGGAACACAGGCGGCCTGAGGGTAATGCTAGCCTGGGCTGGTGTGGGGGCGAGGACAGGGGGCAGCAGTCCATGAGTGCATACTCACTCATGGTCCAGGATGTTGGGGATATCCCGTCCCTCAAAATTTTGCATCTCTAGGATCCGATCAAAGTGCTCCAGCCGCTGGTCATTGTTGGCCATGTGAGGGGGCAGGTGGCAGTTGACGATGCTGATGTAGTAGCCATAGAGCTTCAGGCAGATGTTGACGCCCCCTTTGTTCCCCTGACGGGATAAGTGGGCACAAGGGTGGGAAGTGGCTCTGGCTAAGACCCACCTCCCCTTTCCCACCTCCAGCCTGAGCGGAGATCGTCTCGTCTGCTGCCAGGTCTCCCAAGGGCCGGACGCTCAGCTCCCCGGAGTGACCTCCCCATCCAAGAACCCAGCTCACCCAGCCTGAGGTCTCAAGGGTGCTGAGCTCCCAGAGGTAGGAGAGCAGATATGCATCACCCCCTTTTCCATCTGCTCGCCCCTAAAGCGTCCAGCCCTCCCCAGCCCAGCGGTGAAGGCCTCCCAGTTCGAGATTCAGACAACAACTCCATCCTTACCCAGTACCCGAAGAGGCCCGTGGGGGTGGATTTAGTAGAGAGGATCTGGACAAAGGGCAAATGCTGATGCTTGGCAAAGAACAGTAAGAGGAGCCCCTGCATGCGGACACTGGAGACCTACAGCAGAGGGGGGACAATGGTCATTCACTCCCCTGCACAGGCCGAGGAAGTCCCTGCCTAGCCCTGAGGTCGATGGTGTCTCAGCTCCAGGCTCAGCGTTTACTCCCCTGAGCTGCCGAGTGCACTGCCTCTTCCCGGGCTCGGGCTTCGGAGGGGAGGCTGAGAAGACAGGCTGCCAGGGCACCCTGCCATCAGGAGGGCATCGACCTTCCAGTCCCAGCACCATGCAGCCTAGGGACTCCTCTCACCATGCTCTATGGGTCCGTAGGGCACTCCAGGCTGCCATCCCCATGCACCAGGGGCTCAGAGAGGGATGGCACGATGTAGGATAGTGGCTAAGGGCACTGGCTTTGTTGGAAGTTAGCCAGATTTGGGTTCAGATCCCACTTGGGCTCCTAGTATTTGCTGTTGGGCCCAGTCTCAGCCTATTTGCTCATTGAAAAACCAGGACTCTACCTCATCTAGCTCACAGATGCCAGAAGGATTAACTGGCAGCTATTCTTTGCTGGTTTAAGGATTAAAAAAAAATTTTTTTTTAGTAATCTCTATTACCAATGTGGGGTTCAAACTCATGACTCCAAGATCAAGAGTCTAATGCTCTTCTGAGCCAGCTAGGCACCCCTGGTTTAAAGATTTTTAAAAAGTAAATGCAGGGAGGGGCACCTGGCTGGCTTGCAATTCTTGATCTCAGGGTCAAGAGTTCAAGCCCCATGTTGGATGTGGAGACTACTTAAAAAAACAAAAAAGTAAATTCAGGAAGAGAATATGAGAGGCTTCTAGGTTGCTAGAAATATTCTGGGAGCTCCTGGGTGGCTCAGAGGGTTAAAGCCCCCCCCTTCGGCTCAGGTTGTAATCCTGGGGTCCTGGGATCGAGCCCTGCATCGTGCTCTCTGCTCAGCGGGGAGCCTGCCTCCCCCACTCTCTCTGCCTGCCTCTCTGCCTACTTGTGATCTCTGTCTGTCAGATAAATAAATAAAATCTTAAAAAAAAAAAAAGAAACAAAGAAAGAAAGAAAGAAACATTCTGTACCTTGTCTTGACTGGTGGTAACAACGAAGCATAGACACATAAAAATCTACCAAAAATACACCTAATTTCTGTATACATTATAATGCTCAGTGGAAAAAAATTTAAGAAAATGCTCCCCCAAATAATTATACGCTGTGGATAGCTGGATCTCCATGAAGGCGATGCGGAGGCAATGAGAGCAAGCATGGTGGACATGCGTTTACAGGCTGGGAAGAACAGCCACCGTCTCCAGAGATCCTTCATACTGCATTTAATCTTCACCCCAACCTTGGAAGGAACTGATGTCCCTGTTCTGCAGATGGAAGGCTGAAGCTCAAGGAGATTAAGGAACCAGGACGACTACTCAGATAACAATGTTAGAGGTCCTGGATCCCTATAATCCCTGCTCTCTGTGAGATAGGGTGGGACAGGGCCGTAGCCAGTGACCCTCTCTCTCAGCCTCAGCCTGTCTACACCTACCACCCGAGTAGCTGTTTCCGGAGCTTGAGGTTGCAGAGGCCAAGGAGGAAATCCCCGGGTGGGGAGCATGTACTGGGGCCTTCCAGGAATTATGAAACTTGATCCCGCAGGCCAGGAGCTCTGCCATAGCAGAGGAGTCAAAGCAGGGGGAACCCCAAACCCAAGACTGAGTGAAGGAGGCGTGAAAACCTAGCGTTGGATAGAGGTTACTACAAATGTGTCCCTAACCGCACCCTCTAGCCCGGGTCTTGGCTTCCCATTCACGAGCATGTATGCCAATGGAACGGACTCCTAAGGAACTGATAAAGATCCAGGAAGAGCTTTCAGGCTTAATCCTGACCCACACAGCAGGTCTGGACCAATGGGACCCCAAAAGAAAGCACCAGTCCGCTTTGTGAAGGAACAAGGACAGGGAGGAGGGTGGGAGGCAGGAAAGGCTGAGACTGGGAGAAAGGGTGGGGCTGTGGGGAAAGGCGGGAGGCTTGAAGGGGAAGTTCTGTTGGAGGAAGTGAAGTAGGAGGAGCTAAGGAAGGAGCTACAGGGAGGGAGCTAGGGGCCCTAGAGCCAACAAAAGGAGTCAGGTCCAGGCTTCTCAACCTCCTCCCATCAGAGGAAGAGGCTGCAAAAGCAGGGCTCACTCCTTTACCCGTTCGCCTAGTTCTTTGCTAGGGGAAGGAGAGTCACCCATCTGCTTTGGGTGCCAGGCCTTCAGGCAGGCCTCCCAAATGCGGGAGGCCAAATGGGTAGAGTGGCTTGTGTCCCTGCTACAAGCTGAGCTAATTTCTTTGGCTTGATTCCATTCTACCAATCCCTTGCCAGTTAGCCAGGGTGCAGGAAAGCCTCTGGTCTTGGGAAGAGAGTGTGTGGGGAGAGAGGTGTTTCTGCCTTCTTGGAGGCTCTAACTGTACGTCTATAGTAAGAGGCCTGAGCTTCAGCTGGAGGGAGCCAAGGGCTTGGGAACTGGCCTTTTCCAGCCTCAGCAGCAGGACAAAGCTTGTATTCCCTCCTCCTAGCTCAGTCCTTAAGAGGACTCACAGCTCTTGCCTCAGCACCATTAAGCAAACTGGGGTAAAAGAATGAATTCTGAATAAATGAGTCACCCAGGAAAGGGCCAGAGGAATTTTGGTATCTCCAAGAAGCACTGCATAGGGTGCTTTGAATGGGACTATGCTTCATGCCTCAGCTGTGCAGGACATAAAGGTGAAGACCCAGCAGTCTAGAGCCTTCCTGTGGATTCTCCTATGGTCTGCTTTCCCGAAAGAATACTGGCCCTTCAGACTGAGAACTATTTTCCCTCCATTTTTCTCCCCTCTCCAAACCTCTGGGCCCCTGAGAATTTGAGGTACATGTCTCCCATGATCAGAGGACACCCTCTGAAACCAGTTAGCTATGGCATACCTGTCAGCCTCAGATCACCAGCACAGCAATAAAATGCAATAGTTAAGAATATGGGTTATTATCGCTTCTTGGCCTTTTGGCTAAGATCAAGTGAAGAACATGGGTTATGGGGTGCCTGGGTGGCTCAGTCAGTTAAGCATCTGCCTTCGGCTCAGGTCATGGTCCCGGGGTCCTGGAATTGAGCTCCGCACAGGTGCCCTGTTTAGTAAGGAGTCTGCTTCTCTCTCTCCCTCTGTCCATCCCCCTGCTCTATCACTCTCAAATGAATAAATGGAAAATCTCTATAAATAAATAAATAAAATAAAAATAAATTCCATACTAAGTACAATAAAGAAAAAAAAAAGAACATGGATTATGAAATTTGAAAGATCTAGATTCAAATCCCAGACAGCCTGTGTGACCTTTGAGTCTTGGTTTTACCTGTAAAATACCCGCATTTCAAGGGAATTAAGAGCTCTCAATAACATATATAAAGTTTATTTATAATGCTTACTACCAAGTAAGCATTCGGTAAATGTTAGCAGTTACTATTATACTCAGGGACTTCAGGCCTGGCATATGAGCAGGGACTGAAGGCTGATGGTGGAAAGGTACTGAAGTGTTAATAAGCCCTGCTGAGCTTCCCCCCAGGATTCTCCCGACCTGAAAAATGTCCAGGTGTTAAACCAACCCCTGGGGTCCCAGCTCAGCTCCAGCTACACTGGAAAGACACAAAGCAGGCAGGAGTCCCAGGAAGCCAGGTACAGCTGAGGTTTAGGCCTTCAAATAAATGGAAACAGCATGAAAGCCTATGTGGGAGACCATAGGACTGGGGGTTAGTGAGGGGAGGTGAGACACACTTCCCAACTGCCCATGAACTTGTAAGTTACCTTGACGAAGCTCAGAGGGGAAAGCACATCCATGAAGAAACTGCTCCATGGGTCTTCAAAGGCAGTGTCAGAAAGGAGGCTCATGATCCCACAGTTCATTTCCTGCAAACTGCCCATCCCAGGTCAAAGGCTGTCCCCCTGGTCTGGAGGGTAGTACTTCTGCCACAGACATTCAGTACTGCCCTTGGCACTTTCAAATCTTGGGTACTCATGACCATGATCTCGCCCTCCCATGGCCATTGACTACCAACCCCTTGCCGTTACTGACGCAGGAAAAGAAACACTGACTGGTCCTGATGCAGGCTGAAAGCTCCTAGCCTTCAGACTCCACAGCGAGGGAGGACAGGTTATAGTAGTACCCCGTGGGGACCACTTTGGGCTGGTCGGGCTTATCTATCTCAGCAATGGAATGGGGGAAGGGGCACCACAGACACCTACCCAATGACATACATGTCCAGATTCAGGTTGTCTTTGTTCAGCTGCAGAAGATCACTGAGGTCCAGAGGAGGTGCTGCAGAAGCCACGTTCCATGTCACAACATGTATGCTGTGGAAGGGATGCAAAGGTAAGTCGTGGAGGGAAGAGGATAAGACCCGTTTCCAGGTGACAAACAGGGGTCTGGGCCTGCTAATGGCTGCACCACAATCTGCTGCAACCAGAATGGGAAACGGGAGTTTCTTTACCTGGTAGTGGGAACAGGGGCATTGAACTACAAAAGCCCTTCATCTTCACTTTGTTCCTGAAGCAGGAAATTTCCACCCTGTTTTGGCTCCTCCATGCAGGCCCACAGCTGCCCACAGCTGGCAGCACTTGTGCTGCTGACATTAAGAAAGGCTGCCAAACTGGGCGCAAAGGTTTCAGGGTCAGGCGAGGGGAGGGATGGGGATGGGGTGGGTAGTTAGGAATTTAATCATTTCACCAGCCATTCACACCTCAGGGCTCCTAAGACCACCAGAAAGAGTCTGGAGTTTCAGTTTTTACCTTGTAAGAGGACTCAGCACTGCAAGACAGGAGCATTTCAAAAATAACAAAGATAACACCACCACATTCCCTTCCTTCCTTCTTCCTAGCAGGTCCCTGGAGCATAACCAATTCTGCCAAGCATTTCAGGTAGCCTAAAGCAGAAGATAACAGGGTTCTCAACATCTCTCTCAAGAGTCTAACCTCTTGGGAGCCTGGGTGGCTCAGCCATTAGGCGACTATTTTCAGCTCAGCTCGGGTCAGGATCCTGGGGTCCTGGGATTGAGTCCCGCATCAGGCTCCCTGCTCAGTTGGAAGTATGCTCCTCCCTCTCCCACTCCTCCTCATGTTTCCTCTCTTGCTGTCTGTCAAATAAATAAAATCTTAGAAAGAGTCTACCCTCTTTTGGGAAAACTCATCAGCTGGATAACATCCTCAACCTTGGCTTCATATTCACCTTAGGGAAGCAAGAGAACTAGATCAGCAGCTCTCAATAACAATGGATCCCATCAGAGGCTCCGGGGAAGGAGACACTTCAATTGAATAGTTACAGCAACACTCCCAAGAAAGCCCCAGACTCAGCTGAGTACAGAGCAGTCAGGGGCTACAACACCTGCAGAGACCAAGGTCCAGCCACCAGGCCTTAGGTGAGTCCTAGGTACACCATGAGGAGGAGGACCTGCAGCAGAGGAAAACCTAGAATGAGCGCGGAAACCGGGTTGAGAGAGGTGGGAGAAAAGGGCAGGATGTCCAAAAACATCTCTTCTCCACCAGATCCTGTTCTTAGAGGTCCATGTTCTAAAAACCACAACTTGAAATTCTTGGCCGACTTAAAACAACTTCCTGCCCCTCCCTACGAACAACAACAAAACAATACACAAACCACCTTCCCAGGCATTAGGCCAGAGATTCTGCACTTCGTTTGTTTACGATCTCCCCCTGCCGTCCAACAGAGGATTAAGGAAAGCAGCCCTTTTAGTCCAAGGCTCTTTGTTTTCCCAGGGACCTGCTCTAAGTGGATGGAGCGCAAAAGTCGGGATTTCTCGCCCTCACTCTCAGATTCGACGATTAGCAGCAAATCCTTGCATCGTGACCTGCACTAAGTTGGTGATTAGCTTTGTTCTTCGTTAAAGAGCAAACATGGGACCGGGCTCTATCACTGCGCTAACGGATCTTACCTAAACCTGATTTCGGATTTCGGATTTCGGGAGGTCACAACGGGATCAGCAGACCCCGTGTTGTATGTTTTGATCAAAAGAACAAGATTTCTATTCTAGAGCTGAGAGGAGAATATCTTGTTATGTCTTTACCCCAAACAGCCCGATACTGCTGCCTCCGCCAGGTGCCAACTGAGACACCTGCGAGGGGAGCCTAAATAGGAACGAGCTCGGCAGCCTGAGTTTGGAAGGAGCGCGGGGCTTGGGCCCAAAGCAACCCCCTCAATATTGCCTTGGGAGAACCAGGGAGGGTCTCTGAACCAGAATCAGCCCTGCAGGCCCGGTCCCTTCTCTCCCAGTCTGATGGTACCTCAGATCTGCAGCCCTGAAAGGGTAGGAGAGGGTGATCCCAACCGGAACAGGTCGGCTTGCCCGCTGCCGCCTTCCTCACCTGAGCGTCTTGCTTCTCGGTTCAGTCGTCTTCCGTGGGCTCTCGGCGGCCATCGTCCCCACGCCGCGCGCCCCGGCCGCTCCTGGTCCGATCCACCTCCCTCCGGCAGCAGGTCCCGGCTACCTTACTCTCCCCCGATTGTTTTCCTTCCGGATTCTGACCCTCCGCCTCGGCTTCCGTACGAGGCGGGGCTTGAAGGCACGGAGGGCTCTGGGTGGTGCGGCCTGGGGGAACAGGCGGGACTCGCCAAAGAGCGCGAAACGGTGAAAGGCTGGGAGGAAAGAGGCTCAGGGTATCCGGGACGTCAAGAGAGGCGCGTCTCCGTGCCAGCAGAAGCCGACGCAACACTGCCCCTCCCCGCCGCGCGCGACTGTCAGCCCCGCGGCTCCCAGGGTGCCCCGCGCGAGGCCGGCCGGGAAGGGCGGTGTTCCGGCTGAAGCCGCCGCCCGGCCTGCACCGGCATCCGAGGCCCGCTGGGTTTCGCCAATGCTTGGAGGAGGTCTCCAACTGTGTGCTGTGCCCTTCCACCTTCCCAACGTCCACAAGTCCAAAGGGCGAGGGTGAGGGTGGAGTGGCAGCCCAGCCACTGTCCTGCCTGTGAACCAGTGTCTTTGCCCCTCATCTACAGGTGATCGCTCTCGTGTTGGTCATGGAGCTCCTCCATCCTTAGTTCTCCTCCACGGCCACTTTCAAGTGTTTTCTCGCTTTTCACACTCATTAGGTTACCTGTTACACATTAGCCGTTGGGGGTGCCTGGACTCTTAGAAAATTAGCCGCCAAAGAATGAAAAATAAATCACTACCTCTATGTGATAAATAAAAATGAAAAAAATTTGCCCAAGATTAAGATGTTCTTCAAATAACTGGTTCTTCATCTTTTTTTGGGGGGGGGGTAGGTGGGAGGGGCAGTGCATGGGATTTCTTTGGGGATCTGATGAGAGCCATGACTCTCCCCAGAAAAAATGGACACACAATTTTACAAATGAGTTTTATGAGGTCCATAGACCTGGGAAGCCAGGTTAAGAACTCCTACTTTAAATAAATGTTATGCTTCCTAGGATAGTAAAAAAGAGGGAGATATGAAGAGGAGGGGACATAAAGGTAAAAAGGAAATCCTGCCAGTAGAAAATGGCTGAATTACTTTCAGATATGTGATGTCTGTGTAGGTAAAATGACAAGGACATGTTCTAATTTACAGAAATTGGCCTGCAAAAAGAATCTGGAGCTATCTTGTACTTTTTCCTAGTCCTGGGTAACATGGAGGACAACAGCAAGAGTTTGAGGATAACTACATTGTAAAATGGACATAAGGACATCACCAATAAGCTGGACTCCAGAAAGCTCTGTCTAAGATTTTATTAGACTGCTTCCCCCCTCCCCCATATACCTGTTTTGGAAGATTGAGACAAAAAGGCACAAACTCACATTAAATAAACAAGGTAATCTAATCAGTTCTACAAAGTGTATTTTGTAAAAGAAGTAGCACTAGGAACCAAACAAAATAAGTCAGGGAGTCCCAGTAGGGACTGTAAGAGAACTTGAGGAGATATACACATGCCCACAATACTGACCCCGTCCCTGACCTCTCTCTGTGAGAAGGCCAGAGTCCAGCACCGCCCCCTTATGGAGGCCCTGCTGCTTTAAACCTGGACTCCGAGCCTGGAGATCTGATGGAAGCAGCTGGTCTGAAGGGGCATGGCACACCCTCAGGTACTACCCCTGAAGCTGAGCCTTTTGTCATAAACCCCTCTGAGTGCTAGTCAGTGCTAGTCAGGAGGTGGGTGAGAAGGTAAGGGGGATACTTAAAAGCCAACACTGTTGCCCAGCAGCAACACTATCCGTGGGGATAGAATAGACCAGGGACACCCCTCCTTATATTTCTGTGGGCTGGAGCCCCAGATCCAGCTGACCTCAGGAAATTCTAGCTCAGTTCATGTGGATGCTTTCAAACTGGGGCAACAGGTGGAGATGGGAAGAGCCAGAGAAAAGCCAGATACAGAGCAAGGCCCACCAGAGTTGGAGTAGTGTGTGTGGATCTCAGAGGAGAGCTGAGGCAAGGAGACTAACAGCTGATGACCCTCAAACCATGGAACTGTCTGCTTAGAACATCATGGTTCGTTTCTCCTAGGATAACCCACATCTGGATTTAGCTGATGAATGAAGGGAAAACTTTAAGCGCAAATATCATTATAGCTAATACAGAGCTTATAGGAAAACATTTATATTTTTCTCCAGTAGGAATGCTTCACTTTCCCAAATAGATGCTACCAGCAGTTGGGAATCCTAATAACCAACTCAACTCCCCCAGATCTATTACTACAGACCCCGCAAGGTGAGGAGCCTGAAAGGAAGGTGTAACAGGACATTTCCTGGTCCCAAAGAGGCCTCAATGAAGGTGGGAGATAACCACACTGAGGGGTCTGAGTCTGTCCGCTGTTGCCCCAAGAGGGTCACAGGGAAGCAGCCATCAGGATATCACAGATGCAGTCCTGTGAAACACTCCCTTATTGCACTTAGAAATCAGTAAGGCAAAACAAACTGACAACAACATAAGGATGAATGATCCCATCCTACTTCTCGCTCCCCCAGCACAGATTTGGTCTCTTAATCAGCCACTGCACCCAGACTACCATGGGCTTAGATCACAGCCCACCTGGCCAACATATGTCACGAGGCTTGGGAAATGTCGGGTGACACCATGGCTATCTCAGACTCTCCCACTGGGAAGGCATACTTGGGTTCCGCCAAGCTGTACACAACCATGGAGCACTTGGCGGCTTCTACCTCCCCTGGAGTCTGGACTTGTTCACCGGCCTCCTTTGGTAGAGTTCTATACTACGATCACTACTTGCTTTTTGCGTTTGATTGTCCATGACAGAACTCAGCATTGGGGCGGGATGAGCTGAGTTCCTGATCCCCAAATTCCTTTCCAGCAACTGGAGACAAGAGGGAACATGTTCTGCTGGGGAAAAGCTTTTTGCATGCTCGTTTTGTGCAGCATGAAAAGGTCAGGACCTTGTGCCTGACCAGCCTCAGAGGCAGAGGACAGGAATCTAAGAAAGCACAGAGAAAAGAGGATTATTGCTGAGTGGCAGCACCAGCCCAAAAGGGGAGAGGAGCATGGACGTACAGAGCTCCTCAGGGGTGGGGATGGGGGGGGGACCAGACTAATTAGTACATATGGGGCCGAATCAATTCTAAAGGCCACACTGGACAGGTCCCTCCAGGTGGAGAACCGACCCGGGCATGTTGTGGGCTCTGCAAGGTTCAGACAGAGTGAGTGACAGGAGGGCCAAGAAGCCGCAGGTGTCTCTAAGACTAGTGACCAGAGATGCAATTCTGGGGTCGGGGTTATCTGTATTTGTTACGTTTTAAAAACAGAGACTGGCTGGGCCCTGGGTATTTCCCTGGTGCCTACAGCACATTAACAATGGGTTACTGAGAGCAGAGATCAGAGTTATGAAGCCACACTGCTGTTCTGTGGAACTGGAGGGAAAAAACTGTATTTCTAACTCATCTCTCCCCAGTTGAGCACTCACAATTGCCAAGATCTGCCCAGGAAGCAAAACACCTCAGTTTATCCCAAGATTGGAAACAAACGAACTTAAATCATTTAAATCACCACATCACAAAAGGCAGCTATTTTGAAAGACTAAAAATGTCACTTGGAAATTAAGGGCGGCGAGGGGGGGGGCAGGGAACACACAGAAATGGGTTGAGAACAAAATGGCTGGACAGGGAGGAGCTGTAAATTCAGCAACCTACACGCCATGTATCTCAGAGGAGCAGGCTCCCGCACACATGGGCTTCATAATACCAGACGGTCTATTTGTTCACAATATTAAAGGGCATCTAGAATTAGCTACAGTAAGGGATCGTAAGTTGCCTGAAGAATGGGCACAGAAAGGCTGCGTCCGAAGATGGCCTGTCACTCGGGAGGGTGGAGCTGCTGGGCCTTCCTGTTGACCACTGTCTTGCAAAACTAGAAGAGAAATACAATTGTTAAGGAAGCAACAGAGGAAAATAGAAATACACTGTAAATCATGGATGGCGGAATTTCAAAAGGAGCAAAGACGCCAGGCTGGGGGTCCAAGCAGCTGGCCTGGCAACGATCCACTTAGTCCCACTGTTTTATCTGCCAGAAGTTCTCCAGCACGATGGGCAGGGAGAGGGAGCCAAGGTTCGCATTACTGCTGGTGAGCCCCTAGGCCTCCTCAGCTCCTTAGCCTTAGAGGACGACCAGGTTTTACTTGATAAAATACCTTTCTCTCAGAGCCCAGTGGGAAGCAGGGCCAAGTTTTTAATTTCATGACCAAGCCCACTGAGAGCTGCTGGAACATCAACACGTCTGGAGGTGTGCAGGGTACTGGGAGCTAAGAGAAGGATGGGGCTTGGGAAAGAGGGGCAGCGTGAAACAGGGACATCTCACCCTGCTCCTAGGACTCTCCAAGCGTCTGAAAGAGGCTGCCTCTGATGAGAACATCTACTGAGTATGCGATCAGAGGCTTTAAAAAGGAAGGAAATGAAGTACCAGACAAATGATGAGCCCCAGGAAAAGCTGTCTGGCCAGCAGATTTTCCAAGGGTGGGGCAGGGAAGGCCGGCAATGGGGAGCCAGGAACTGCTCTGACATAGGGGTACTGGGGGCACTCTGCATGCTGGCTTCAACTTGAAATGGCTCTCACTACGAGAGGGAGAGGAATTAGCTGCAGAAAAGCTTTGTTCTGTGTCTACTGCCCCAACCCAGCCCCACTTCTCACTACCGGGTGGGTTCATGTGTCTGTCTGGGCAGTTCGTTATAAGATCACATGTCCCTGAAAGGGTCTAATAGCTACAACATCTGTCAATGGAAGCCTGAGAGCTGTTGAGCATGGCAGTCGTCATTATTAATGGAGGACAGGACAAGGAAAGAACAAGTCTCCTGACTCCTTAGTGAGCTGCTGAGGAGGCCCTGAGGACCCAAACTGACTTTCCTGTGGATGAGA